TTGCTACTGCCCCTTTGACTTCTGTTGCATGAGGTCACTGCAACACGTGCGACAGCCCAAGCAGCTGTGCTTTAAAGCCCTATGAGTAATAACCAGTGTGTTTTTATTGCTCATTATTAGGCTTATCAGTAGCAGACTGTAAGTAGGAGACTATAGAATACTAAAAGAATAGTGCTTGGAACTATCAATTGAAAATATTAGCAAACGCTCTGCAAAGATAAGGACAAAGGTATTTTTTCTCCTGGATTCTGAGAAGTTAAGGTAGTATTTGACAGATAATACAGAACCTGAGAGAATACAAATTGTACTTGGCAAATCTAATGTCACATGGCTCTACCACCTGCTGTCATTCTTATATTATTTCCCTTTGTTATTGTTTCTGTAATACTGTTTTCCATTTACTCACCTCTTTCTATAGATGCCTAGCATTCAAGCAATTAGTACCGCTAATGAAAGATGTATCCTGTAAAAGAGCTTGTCTGCAATCAGCTTCTGAAGGCTCATCTACCTGTGCAATATTCACTATGTCAAGACTTGAAGTGCCTTCTTTATTAACTACCATGAATTGTTCAGATAAGGCTCTCTGTAAAGCCAGCTGCCTCTCTAGCTGCAGAAGGGTTTTGTGGTCTCGCACCCTATGCTGCAAGGCAAAAAAGTCTAATTCAGGAATATACCTTGAAAGACTATCATCATTTCCCTCTGCAGGTGTAAAGGGAACTGAGGCAATCAACAGTCCTCCCCCAACTCCTGAATCCACACTCTGCTGGCATTGCTGGGTGCTATTCAAGATCTGAAAACAAGAGAGAGTAAACACACTTCCCATCTGTTAGTTTGTCCTCCATCCCCTCTTCTTAGAAATCACAGAAACAGAAAAATTAGCTGGATATGTCAACTCCTCTACCCTGGACTCCCATACCCGCAGATCTGCGTATCCCGCCTTGCTCACATAAACAAGTATTGACGTCACTTCGTTCACGAATCGGTTCAAATGCCTGTCGCGTAGGTATGGGCATTGTCTAAGCAACTGTTTGTCTTCTGTTATTCCTTGAGCATATAGTAAAAACGGTTTGCACGGTAGCTTCTGAAGAATGATAGCGTTGGGGGGGGCTATAGCTGCATGAAAGCTCAGGAAGCTACACAATGGGATAATTCATGCAAAGCTGCTATCAAAAAAACCACCGGCAAGTAAATCTAACACAGTTTATGGGAGAACCAGTAACAAACACTGGCCTGATTATGCACAAAAATGGCAAACTCATATGAATGGCATTTGGTATTGCATGTGGTTACCTACAAAGGTACTGAGTGGCTACGATAATACAACTGTGAACGTAGAATAGCTTAGAAATTATTGTGGTGAATACACTTTCCTATTCAAAATGTTAGACTAAAGTATATTCCTTATAGTACTGCTTTATAGCATGTGGTAATTGAGAGCACAGCATAGATTGCCATTTCTTCAGGTAAGTTATCTCCAAGTATTTCTTCCTGTACAAAATGGTCGATCAATAAGTCCAGTCAAAATGTCAGTTTATTTTTAAGACTGCGTTATCTTTTCTGTGAGCATCAGTTTTCTCTACGGGTAACTGCAGTGTACAAAACACAGCATGCTGTTTAAAGTGTGATAGAGACTTCAGAAAAGCATAAACTTCAAACAAAAGATAGATGGTTTTAAACAGAATTTTTATAAAGCAAGGATAAACTTCCTCATCCTTGTAAGCATCACCACACATTTCCAGAATAATTTTAGGACCCAAACCTCAAGCTTTACAAGCTGCTTATTTTTTTCATTCTATGAAGACTGATCACAACATGTTGCAGGACTGTTTTTCATACATCGGTGTAAGCATATGCATAAATCTTCATAGGATTAAAGTCAGTCTGTACAAAGAGTTATTCAATGCAAATGAAAATCTAAGATACTGGATAATAGGGTCTCCTACATCTCTCGAAATACCAGCTACTAGCTGGAGATACACTGATACCAAGCTATATCTAAAAAAGATGCCCAGAATAGGTTCATGTATAATTCGTAGTCATATTGACAGGGATAATATGGGACCTATTTCCTTTAGCTTACAGATGCAAATATATAACAGTCGCGTCTGCTGGATGGCTTACTCTAGCTGCAGATGTAAGGCACGTGTATTTTACGCATCTTATTTTAGAGGGATAAACCAATTCTGGTTTGCTTTCTCTACGAGCAACTGAACACTTCAGAACTCTCCATTTTCAGTATCTGTGAAGAAGTGGTGTGTAGCGCTATTTATTTTAAACAGCTGGAATATACTACAGTGTCAAAACTGCATTGATCTCTTCCAACCACAACGCACACCGCCAGCCTGGTATCAGAAAATCTAGTTGCTCCAACCCTATTAGGAGCCCACACTAGCAATTACAAAATCAGGCTGTGTGTCATGAGTGTGTGCCGTTACTTTTTATGCCTTTCTCCTTTAGAAAGAAGTCCCTGAGCAGTTCTGAAGAGAATGTAAGCCTCTGGCTGGCTTTACTAGTTCAGGGTCAGATGTGTTTGTCAGAAACTAAACCTTGCTTGAAACCTTGTTTCGGTGTCCCTGTAAGAGCCACCAAAGAAGGGGGCAGGAGGGGAGAGGGAGGGTGACCAGCCCGCATAGCTCGCTGTTTGAGCAAAATTCAGACCTCTGTTCCATTTATCAGCACACATTCTACCAAATGTCCAATATTATGAATTTACAGCTTTGTATGCTTAGGGCACACCTGCCACCTGGTATTTGCAAGGAAACTGGTCAAGAAACAAGTTCATTATTTTCACTTGCTGATAGACAAGGCAGTGTAACCAGAACCAAATGGGAGGTATGCAGCTTATAACAAAGAACAGGGAGTATATTTGCCTGTCTAAACCAGTTTTTTTCCACTATCCTGGACAAGGAACAAGAAGGTTAGTTCTTATTTCGTGCTTATTTAAGTATGAACAAGATTCCCCAGATATGTTTCCACAGGAATAATAACAACATTCACTCATATAGGTCTACAGAAGTAAATTTTTATATAACTATCTGCTTTCCACTGAGACTTTGAGATCTGTGGAAACGCGGTCAGCAGTAAGATGCTCTACTTTCTCTCTGCACTGTTTCTTCTTGTCGCTTGTTATTTTCTATGCTGGGTAGGAAATTCAAATTCTTATGCAAACTGCTTCTGGAGTGTACTAATGAACAAATGGGTGGAGGTTACAGTGCCAGGTACTTGTCTCTACAAGACTTAACAGCAGACAGTCATTTGTTAGAAGAATTGTTAGCTTGAAAACCTAACTGTACTGTTGGCTATATAAAGCAAATTTCTGTATGTTGAAAAATTTCTATTCAACCACTTTTAAGAGGGATGGGGAAGGATGGAGGGGAAAAAAGCTGGCTCAGAAGCATGTCACGTTGCTTTTCCGAAGACGTAGGTGTTCTTTGAGGTATGTGTCCTGTTTAGACTCACACTTGATATGAGACAGCTTCAAATACATACCCTAGATGCAAAACAAAAATGGAAGCCCCCCCCCCCCAAAAAAAAAAAAAAAAAAGAAAACCCCATTACACTGGAAACAGCCACACTCTCTGAGAAGGGAACACAGACTGTCCTGTTGTTGTGACTTCTGTGAAATTTTCTGTGCTGTTAAAGGTAATTTTCTGGTCGTAAGACTGAGTATCTATCTGGATGTCCTGAGAGCTTTTTTTTCCCTATAGACTTTATCAGTTATTCCTAAATTGAATAAAAGGTTATTCACAGTCAGATCCACTGTAAAGAAATTACAGAAAGTACTGTGATACTGTGTTTGCAGTGTGCTATTTTCAAAATGCTGTTTATTCTAGCAGCTGACCAGATCCGCTAGTACTCAGTAGTGGAAATTTTAAAAACTCCATAAAACTCTGAGCATGCTGTCCTCTAAACCTGCTCTGATAGGGCTGAACATGCCACAGGCATTCTGTGAGCAGCAGAAATTATGAGTCATGTTTGCAACATCCTTTGCCCATGCAGATTCTTGGAATCTAGAGAGATAGTAATTCCTATGGTAGCTTTCCCTTCTGTGGGAACATTAATAGGATCTCTGTCTTCTACATAACCGCTTATTTTCTATACTGTCAGTGTCTCTGGGAGATTTGGCTGAAGCTGGCTGAGGGTTTCAAAAGTAACTGGTGGTAGAGTACACAGCTTATTCACACTGATTTTCTTTCTGTAGGAAACTGAACTAGAAAGTGCTCCTACCTTGGGGTATCTACCACTGGCAGCAGACACTGCAGCCTATCATTCACAAGTGGAGATGGCATAGCTTGGGACGGCAGATTATCGACCCCAGCTGTCTGCCTGGCACCCAGCACACAAAAGACCAAGCTGTTCACGAGACAGCTGTGGAATCGCTGCCTCTTACTGAAACCGGCAACGGTTTACAGCACCATCCTCTAAACGGGGCTCAGAGTGTCCCAGCTATCCAGAAAAAGCGGCGTCAGAATGAAGAGTTAGGGCTGGTAACCTCCTCTTCCATCCCCAGCTATGGTACCTACTGCTTCTTGCAGATTGAACTGCGAGCTGCACTGACGCCAGAAAGCGGATGCACGCAGTTGTAATGGCGATGGAGAAAGGAGTGGGAGAGGGAGCCCTCTGCACCTATCTGCACCTGAGGACGGGTATCAGAGATACCATACATGTACATGCACACTTCATATACATAATGCACATAATAGCGTCCATGTAATAATTGCATGCACATGTAATATGTATAGTACAAATGTTACATAATGTTTTGTGTACTAAGGTTTTGATCTGGTTTATTATATTAATTGTAAAATAGCTTGGGTAATCTGCCATTGCAAGACAGGCATGAATGTAGTTGGAATCCCTGCCTAGGTGCTGTGACAGAGTCCTGAGATGGTGTATAGTGCTGCTTCGTGGTGACATACCTTAGTTTAGAGCAGATGATAACCCATAAAGACAAGCAGTTTACCGTGGCTGACCGAGTGTAGGAATCATGTTCATACAAATTCAATATCGCATTATTTTAATGAATAAAATAATGTCTCTGATCGTTCTGTCATGAGCACACCAAGCCTGTTATCGACATCCATATGATTCACAGGGCCAAAATTTTTGGCTGTTTGTCAATCCTTGTGTAAAGCTCATCAATAATAACGGGAGTTTTTTCTCCGAGTGGGAGACTGAGGTCCACAGGGTATTCCGGTGTCGCCTCTGAAAGAAAGATGCAAGGGGTTTTCATCCTCCTTGCCCAGCTTCTCCACGGGAGCCGACTCCCAGCAAAGCGCCCGGGTGGGAAGTCCCGAGCCCGGGAAATCTCCCGCGGGGTGTGTGTGTGTGTGTGTGTGTGTGTGAGCGGCGCACCCGCCACGCCGCGGCTCGGGGGGGGCGTGGGGCCGGACCCTTCGTGGGGCCGGACCCTTCGCCCCTCAGCCGGTCCGCGGCCCCGCCGAGCACCCGCCAGCCGCGCCGGCCCGGCCATCCGGGCGCTTTCCCGGAGCCGCCGCGGCGCAGCGGGAGGGCACCGGCCGCCCCCCCCCCCCCCCCCTTCTCACTCCTTCCCCGCCGCTCCGGCACCCCGCTCCCCCCCCCCCACCCGTGGGTACGCGTCCCCCGGCGGGTTCCCGCCGCGGCCCCGTCTCCGCGGCCCCTCCTTTCCACGGGGGGCGAGGCCGGTGGCCCCCGCGCCCGCCTCACCTGGCGGTGCCCCGCACCTTGCGTGAGGAGCGGGGCGGGAGGCGGGGCGGCCGCGGGGCCCGGTCCCCCCCGCCGGGCGAGGGGAAGGGAGAGGCGGCGGCTCCCGCCGTCCTAACCGCTCCCCACCCCGCCCGCTGGTGCCGCCCCCAGTATGGCGACACGGTAGAGGAGCGGCTGCGCCGGGGTGACCGCCCCCCCCACCCCCCCCTCCCTCCTTCTCTCCCGCCTCCCTCGGCACGGGCACGGCGCGCCGCGGGCGAACGAGCGGCCTCGGCGGCGCGGCTGCCGCCGGTGCCCCCCACAGGGCTCGGCGGAGGAGGAGGATGGCGGCGGTCCCGGCGGCGGCGGCGGGGTCGAGCGGCCGCACGGCGGGAGCCAGCACCGTCCCGAGCAGCTCATGGTGGCGCCCCAGACCCGCGAGCAGCGGCCGCGCCGGGGCCGCCAGCTGAGCCGGATCCCGGCGGGCGGCTCTCCCCCCCACCTCCCCTCCTCGGCACCGACCCACCGAAGCGACCCCGTTCCCTTTCCCCCGGAGCCAGCGCCCTCTCCCCCCCCAATCCCCGGCGCGGACTCGCGCCCCGGATCGCCCCCGCCGGGGCCGGACTCCCACCACCCCCGGGCGCCGCGGGGAAGGCGGCGGCGAAGGGCACCGGGCGGCGGCGGGACCATGGGCGCGAAGCAGAGCAGCCCCACCGCCGCCAATGGCCGCGCTCGGGCGTACTCGGGCGGGGATTTACCTTCCTCCAGCAGCAGCAGCAGCGGCGGCGGCGGCGGCGCTAACGGGACCGGCGGGCGCTCGGCCGGCGCTGGCGGGCGGTTCGCGCACCTGGCGGCGGCGCCTCACGCCGCTCCCGGCAGCGCGGCGGCGGCGGCGGGAGGAGCGGCGGCGGCGGCGGCGGGAGGAGCGGCGGGGTCGGCACCCCGGAGCAGGTCCTTAGGGGGGGCCACCGCCTCGGGGGCCCGGGCCGCGCAGTCCGCCTTCAACATCCCCCACAGCAGCGGCCCCTACGGCTCGCAGGACTCGGTCAGCAGCACCCCGGAGGAGGGCGGCCGGGAGCGGCCCGCGGGGGGCGGCGGGGGCTCCTCCGGCGGGCCCCGGCTGGTGATCGGCTCGCTGCCCGCTCACCTCTCGCCGCACCTGTTCGGAGGTAAGGGCCGAGCTCGCCGGGCGACGGTTTTGGGGGCGACGGCGGGGCCGGGTGGGGTGGGGGTGTGTGTGGGGGGGTCCCTCCCCGGCTCCCAGGCGGGACGGGGTGTGGGGGGGGGGGGATGAATCATCACTGCCGGGCTCTCCCGGGCTGGTGCCCGCCGCAGGGGGCCACGGTTTGGAGACGGGGTGTTCGGGCCGGCGTCTCCTATTGTTTGTAAGGAGAGCGGGGAAAGGCTAAAAATGAAACGAACCCCGCGGCGGTGTGGCCGGGACGGCGAAGAGGAAGCAGAACCTCTCCGACCGGCGACTTTAGACTCTAATAGCTGTAATCAGTGCCTGTGTAAATACTCTTGCATGCTACTTACATAATTAGAATTTAATTGGATCATGTGTCTCCGCTGTTTATTCTAAAATGGCACCAAACCCTTCTGTAGGTACTGATTAACAATGTGGCTGATGCTTGTTCCTCTTTCTGAGTTCTCGGGTTCCCGGTTCTAAAAGTCGATTAAGAAAAAAACAGAAGTTAAAGTAAGTTTCTTTGTTTTCCCCCTAAGAGATGAGCGGAGCCGGCTAGCTGTCCGTGCTGCTGAAGTACGGGCTCGCAGCGCCGGCACCGTACAGTCTTGAGGATGGCCACATGTGCTCTTGAGGCAGGAGAAACACTCAGCTAAACTCTGAATTAAAGCAAGAACCTGGGGCCCTTTAAGAGGCATATTAAACGTGGAGCAAGTTGTCGTAGTTGTTTGTCTCTCCTGTGATCTTGAGATGAATAGGGCCGGTATAGGACTTGCATTTTACTGCCTGTGTTCTTTACCTTAAAGTTCAAATTCTGCCTGTAAGCTGCCAGCTGCTTGCAAAGTTGCTGACTTCTTTCAGCCAGCAGCTGCTTTATTCTAAAGGTCGTTGTTCATATAAGTCAAACATTAAGGTGCAAGGTGACTTTTTAAATGGGTTAATTCTCTTGATAATTCTAACACATATGTGGTTAAATGCTAACCAGCTTCCCCAAAAGCTTTTTTTGGGGAAAGAGGAGGCTAATGTAAAATTCCTGTGTTTCTGTATTCTGATTAATCCCTTTGTGAATACTACTTGTCGCAGGCTGAGTTTTCTTCTTTTCTGTACTGCAACCTGTTTTTAGCTCGGGCAGAGCTCTCTCCAGTCCGACCCTCCTAGGGTGCGCAAGGTTTCTGTCACACAGCTTGCCACCTACGTGGAGTTGGTGTGTTGACCTGAAGACAGCATAGCTGTTACTTCCTAGACCTAACACTGCCTCCTCCCAGCGCAGTGGTTGAACATTAGCAGAAAGCTGTCAAACCCTATTATAATAAAGGAATATTTGCCCTTAGAAAGAAAACATAACTATTCGGAGTAGCAAGCTGCTCCATACAAGTGCTTTGTTGCAAGGATGCTCATTACTCTGTCATGGCAGCTTGTGGGGGAAGATCCACATGTGTCTGTTGGTGATGAAAGGATGCCCTACCACGAAGCGCTGTGCAGTTCGTGCTAAGCACAAGGGAATCATTAAAACATGTAGTCAGTTGTTGCTCAGAGGTAAAACTCTTTTTTTTTTCCCCCATCCGTGCTTAAACATCATCTTGCAATGTGCCATGCTTCTAGGAGGAACTGGATTAAATGTAAATGCAGCGATGAGGATCAATAACCTAGGAAACTGTCTATTCATGTGCTGGAAAGCCCCTTCAGGATAACTCCGAATTTGATCATTCTCCTCTGTGGCACATAATAATCTACCACTACACCAAGTTTTGTCTTTTGTCAGTCTCTGAAATTGGCGTATTAAGGAGGATATAAGCTGAAACGATGCAAAGCTTGTTGCTTTTCCTGGTGAGGAAAAGTTCCAGGAGGGGACCTTCTTCACCTCCTGACTAATAAATAAGGAGTGCCGTATGTTAGACGTTTGAGTAGCAAGTTTCAAAATACACTGTCCTTATGTAGTCACTAGATGGTCATGAATCTACTTGATTTTTCTTGTCTAAAAATCTTAGTATTTCTTATAGGGGTGAATAACTGTTTAATAATAATACTGCAACACCTGTGAAGAAGGCCTCACTTGAAACATTATTATTTTTTGCAATTCAAATATTCTGTGATATCAGTGATATATTATACCATATCACACTGAATGTTGGCATCCTTATTTAGCTGCCTGCTTTGTGTTTTCTTGATTCCTTGTAATAAATAGACGCCTAGAACAAGTAGCCTCACTGAAGATCATACATTAGTAGCATCAGCATGGTGAAAAATAATTTGAAGCATTGTTTTTGTCCTGATGGTAACTAGCTCAAGCTTGTCTAGGTGTGGTATCTGGCATTTACGATGTGTATCATAAGCATGCTTGAAGTCCCCTCCCTTGTTTTGTAACTTTCAAATTAGCCGAATTGTTTCTTTTTGTCTTGAAAACTACTGAAATTAATTTGGAGGATTAGCATAGCAATTCTATGAAAATTAAAATAGAGAAGAACAACAAGAATAACTTCCGTAAGTTGAACTGAATCGCCAACTATTTATGTTTATAGGCATATTGCTTCGCTTCATCAATCAGAGACATGTGGGTGTTGCATTTGTTAAATTACTGTAATTAATTTGCCATTAGTGAATTACACTCTATTGTCACTTTTTACTGAGCAGCTTTGCATGCTGACGTAATGTATAAATATTAACTCTCTAATGTAACATACTTAAATCCATACTATGCTTGTTAATATGCCATTGGAACAAGAATATACAAAGTATTATGTTGTTGTATTGGAAAGTATGATCAGCTGTTTTCCATGTTCTTTTAAGAGGAACTGTAGTAGCAGCAGCCTTTCCTGACTCTGAGGGTCTGATGTTCCTGTCTGACCTCAGACCTTAACGGTCAAGGCGTGATGGAGTAAATACTGCTATGTAACCTTATGTCTCATCTCAGGGAGAGTTCAATTCACTGAATAATTGGGGCCTTGGTCTCACAAAAAGAGAAATATATATGTGTTTAACTTTTTGTGAGCATGCCTGGAGTAGGCTTAGAGCAGTAAGTAGAGTTGGACCCAAATTCCATAAGATCTTACGGCACTCCCAGATGCATAGGCCAAACCTGCACGTGACGTTCAAGTGCTTTCTTGCAACACAGCACAGAGTTCCAGCTTCCTTTAAGCTGATAACACTGTTGTTGGGAATTTTGACCAGGAGTTTCCCACTCTGTTCCTCAGTGAATGGGACTTCCCCTCTCTCCCAGCCCCAAAGTAAATATTCTTACCTTCTGTTAAGAACAGTGTGTAGAAGAGTTGGCCCTGAGGTCCACAGTTCATTTTTTCCACTGTGTTTTTAGGCAGCAAATATTTCTGCCTAGGCTGTCAGCAGGCAGTGCAGCAAAGCTACTGCTGTAGTTACAGTATAGCTTGTTTTTGTCAATGATGCTTGCAGCAATTGGTTCAGCTGAAAATGGATGGTCTTTGGGAATTTTCTTTGCTTTGGGCAACTGCTGGTGTGTTATTTCTGTCACTCGAAATGTTGACAACTCCTCAGAACCCACTTCATGTTTGTGATCCTCTTTTTGGGTGGTCACAACAGGGAGAATCCTTGGTGAAATTACCGAATTTAAGCATCCTTCTGATGTTCAAATTTAAATCTCTTCTTGGGAGTGTTGTTACAGGACAAGCCTTTAAATGTTTGGTTTTTTTTTTTTGTTTTTTTTTTTTTTTTTGTCTTTAGAAGTTTCTTAGGGAAGAATGTGCAAAAATTCAATTGAGGAGAGCAGAAATATTACATATTGAGTCTTTAAATTTACACATCAGTTCTTCATTCAAGTTGATTGAGCGGAGACTGCACAAGTATTACACAAAATCTCAGATTATGTTGTATACAGACATATAGAATTTTGTGATGTATTTATAGACAGGTTTTTAAATATATATTGATGTCAGGTACAACTCTTGACAGCTTTCAGGCCTGTGTCAAGACTCGGAGTAATAATTTGGAGATTAAGTTGCATCTGTTCAACTTTATTAGGAGAAGGAAGTTTGTTACGTTGTCAGGCCAAATAATGATCAGGCTTTTTTATGAAGCACTTTACAGTTCAGGATTTATAGTCAGCTACTGAATGTACATAACACAGTATGGGTAGAACCTTATAGTTATGTTATAGTAGCATTTGTTTGTAATAATAGCTGGTAGGAGTAGTGACCGAATTCTTCATTCTATAGAAGAAAGTTCACGAAAACCTCACATTATAACCTGAATTACTGGTTGGACTGTGGGAAGCAGACAGCAGTAGAAGAATGATGTGAAGTCTTAGAAAAGAAGTTTTTTAGACGTCTCTCAAATTGCCTAGAAAGCCGCATCTTGTTTGCTTTCCATCTGATCTGTTTAGTTACATGGTATGTGTCAATATGTTCTTGAGGTTCTTTCCATCTTTTTCACACCTTTTTTGGGGGGGATATGACTATCTTTTGGTTACTTCCTTGCCCTTCTCTCGTAATATCAGACAAGTACTATTGCTTTGAGAAATCATGCAGCTCTTAAGCACTTCAGAATTCAATGCTGCTCGTGTTTTCCTGCCGGAGTTGTAGCTCTGAGTTCTTTGCCCCCTGACCTGGGAGAAGTGTTGGGAAGCGTGTGCTTTGCAGCCAGACTGTTGGGATATCCTGGGGGTGTGAATCACGTTAGAAGCAGTGAAACTTGCTATTGTGGTTTCGGCCTGTATGCCTTGGTACTGCTTGACATACCTTCTCTTCCTGGGAGTTGGAAATTTTTTTTGATGTTTGACTAAGGCCAGTGAATCTGTGATACAGTATCTATTACTTCTTAACGATTCAGATAGAGGAAAGAGTGTAAGGATTTAGTCTAATAAAAGCTATAACTTTTCCATACAAATTTTGCCTTTTTTTAGAGGTATGATAAAACTGCTATCTGCTGTTGTGAACACAAGAAAATCCCAGGTGCATTTTCAGATAGTTTTGCTGTTGCAGTTCATAGGTTTTACAAGGTGCAGAACAGTGAAAG